CGGTCACTTAGGGCCCCCGGTCGTACCCGCGGAGCGCCCGTGGGGTTGTCTCGCCGCTCCCGGGCCGAGAACCGCGTGTGGGGCGAGCACGGCTGAGCCCCTGAGCAGGCGTTAGCGTCCCTTCAACCGGGGAATACCGCCTCAAAAATAATGCCGTGGCACCAGACATACTGAAAAGCGAGCTCTTTCTAGGAGACTTTTGAAGTGTGCTGCTTGCAGCGAGGAAGGCCTGACGAGCAAGCCGTCGCTGGGTGCGGGAAGCCACCCACAGCCAGAGAGCACCGTGAGGCGGACGGGCGAAACGAAGTCCTGCGGGGCGGGCAGCGGGGCTGCCCGCCTCCTCCTCGGGCAGGAGCGGGAGCCCTGCGGGGCAGCCGGGGCCCTCCGCGCCGGGGACGCGAAGCGGGAGGCAGGGAACGGAAGGCGAAGAACAAAGGCGGACCGGAAGGTCAAAAGCAAATAAAGCAAATCGTAGCCACCGCCAAAGCGGCAAGCTGGAAGAAAACGAAAAGGGACAAACCAAGTGAAAAGGATTAGGAGTTTAACAGAGGAAAAATTATGGCAAGGCTCGTGTGCGGGGAAGAAGTATGAACATTAGAACCGTGACACCACAACGCACGGACAATGAGTATACAGCCAGCTGCCACGTTCAGGGTTATCATCATCAAGTCTCGAGGCCAAGCAAAAAGCAGACAAGTTCCCAGCCCAAATTCCACTGCAGCTGAAAAGGATCTCAGCACCCAATTTCTTCCAAGTCCTTTGCAATTCCCAATATTTCCCAGTTTTGGTGCTGTTAGAATCCCAGCTAGCTGCATCTTTTTGAAGGAGACCCTGAAACCACAGGAAATACTGCTTTAAATTGCTTTGACAATTTGAGAGTCAGAGTCAAATTTCATTTTAACTTTGCCACTTGTAATCATCAGGGTAGGAGGATCTCCCTAGCAGAGACTTGGCATTCAGCAGATTGTCTGAGGGGTGCAAAAAAGCAGCTAATGGCTATCATCACAGAAAATCTCTACAAAACCAGTATTTTTTCTGTTGAATGCTCACCTCCCCACCCACCCCTCCCTTCTTTTTTTTTTTTTAAAACTCAGGAATGAGGTAGGGACCAATAGACAGTAAACAAGGAACACAGCTGGTTTCCTGAAGAACGCTTCTCTGAGCAAATAAGGCTCTCTCCCTGTCAGAAATAAGATGACCAGGCCATTAAAGCTTAAACAGCTGCTTGTTCTAAGGACCTGGTCTAAGCCAGCATGGTACCATAATGTCAGGTCTCGCTCGTGGTGGGTTTGTTTTCCATTGACTTGTGTCTGTATTTTGAACGTACAAATGCTTCATACCTGAGTTACCTGTAAAATAAGTCTTTCTGCAAAGACCCTCGATCTTGCTCTACAGTGAAGAAATTTTTATCCATTTTTATATTTATCCACTGGGTGTTACAAACCATTGCAATCTCACACACTGCAGTAACTCACACATCTTGTCTCTGGTTCATTCTTCTCTACGGGGCAGGTCTGCATCTCCCTTACAGTCACAACCCGGCCACAGCTTCTCCATCCATCCCCTACGATCCGATGCACCAGGCACAACTGACCAGTTGAAATGGAGGTCACCGAGCAGGAGCCAGCGCTACTCCGAAGCTCATCACATGGCTCATGCTCAGGAGAAAAGTGTATCATCACATGCATGCTCAGGAGAAAAAGCTGGAGGGGTCTGGCTATAACCAAGTTCCCACAGTGGGATGGACATGTTCTCCCCCCTTCTCTCCCTCACCTGCCACCCCACCCTCATTCCCCCCTTACCGCCACCCCAGTCAATGTATAATGCTTTGTTTTACATGGACATTGTAATCTAGCATAAACCTGGATAGCCACTTGGAAGAGTAGTCCCACATTTCCTGTTCAACCTGATTGACTGCTTGCTCCCTGCTCCCGCACCAGCATTTCTGTAATGACGGGGTCAGAGAATCAGGGAACTGATCCAGCTGTAACCTAGTTCACAGAAAAAAATTTTAACATCTGGGGACACGACAGGCTTATTTCAAGGCTCAAGTGACTCAAAGGAGACCCACAAAGCCGATGTGGCTGGGGTCCAGGATCCATCTGCCCTGTTACAGGGTAGGCAAGGCATTCTTAAGAGAACTCTATCAGAGCTCAAGATGAGTTCAGAATAGTAACCAAATCTGAACAAATCTGCAAAGTTTGTTCGTAGCTGGACCCATTTGTAATAAACTGTCATCCACCCAGAAATCTGAAATAGACCAGTTTTTCCTTTTACAAATTGTTTATTTTAGTTCCTAAGGTAATAGGAGCTTAAGTTTAAAGTTATAAAAGAGAGAAAAACAATAGAATACCCCAGCATTTATTACACACTGGAAGTCTCACAGAGGATGCTATATAATGAACCCCCAAGCCTAGCTTTTCTACAATAACAGGATTGTATCCTTGGCTGCATTTAAAGCCTTTATTTTTCATGGCATCACTGACATGAACAGTCCTGTAAACCACTAGTCTCTTTAACAGTTTGTCTTCCTACCTACATAGCCATTTATTCAAGTATAAAGGTTAAATTAAAAATAAATGAAAGCAACTGATGCTTGAGTGCACTCTGGCAAAGAAACAAGTTCCCAAAGTCTGATGGGGACATTGCTGCAAATGAGAAGGTAACCAAGTGAGTAAATACCAACTGCTGGCCTAGCCTTACTTATGAGAAATCTGCTGCAGCAAGTAACTGGAAGCCTTTACATGGTAAACAGCAAGATTTACTTTTCTTTCTGTCTCTGCAGCCTGATCCGACATCTCTGCAGAGGTCTCTGTCAAAAGACTCATTTTTAGCCTGATTTCCTAAGGAAAGAAGGCTTATGCAATTACACTGTCTGTTGGTGTTTCTGCCTGTGGGTCCCCTTTCTTTCCCCCCTTTCCTTGCCAAAAAAGCATGTTTAAGCCATTGCCCAATTCCATCTAAATTTGTACAAAGGTAACTTCTGTGAAATATAAAGCCAAATTGATGAAACAGATCCTAATAAAGCTGTCACTGATAAAATGGCAAGCATGTGCAGACACTGCTTAATATACATATGAGAATCCACACAGCAGTGCTACATCAGGACAAGTCCATAGGAAACCAGGCTTGTTCTGCTGATCACAGAAAAAAAATTATTTTTATAATCACATTAGCTCATCCTTCAACAGGGAGAAGACTAGGGTAAATGACTTGATGTTCAAAAGAAAAATCAATGATCGTGGAATATCAAAGGGATGAGGCTCCAGTCAAGGCTTAAATTGCTGTTAGCAGACAATGAGCAGAGAGCTGCATGTAGTCCCCAGTAGCTCATTAATAACACTATTTGGGGCCTCATCCCAAGCTACAGAAGAAAGCCCAACTCGCATTTGAACTCCTAATGTGATTTATCTTCCTCATGTCAATGCTAGTAACCACATGACTACATACTCAAACAAGTAATTTTGAGCAAGGTTTGTTTTAACAGGGCTGATACCAGGGAGGCAGCAGGACCGTTTCTTTCATCAAAAAGTCAGAATGAGATCGGTTTCAATCAACTGTGAAGCCACATCCTAAAGGTGGAGTTTCACACTGCAACAGGTTGGATAGAAGGTTTAGCTCCTGCTGAAAAGGCAATTCTGCTTCCCCCTTTTACCTGTAGGCATTCTTCTACTGCCTCACTTTTGCAAACACTGGTGCCAGTTTGATTCAAGGAATTAAGTGAGCAGAAAGCTAGCACAGCAAAAACCCAGAGTTTTCTTCTGGTTTAACTCCTTGAACTAGCTCACCATAGAGCCAGATCTCAGTGAAACCACATCCTAAGCCAAAAGATGAATCAGCGGTAACTCACTGCAAGGATCTGCCAGAGTTTGCAGGTTTTGCAAAGAATCTGAAAAAATTGCTCTCAGAGGTGTGAGCTGCCAAATTGATCCCATGAGTATGAGTTGTATTAACATTGCTCATCATCAACATATTTCTTCATTAATTGCCAACTCTTTCATTGCTTATGTAGGAACAGAGAGGAATTTCACAATTCCATTTCTTGAAGAGCTGCTTAACTTGCCCCAGTGGTTCAGTTCCAGAAGGCAAACTAAGTTGGCCTTGCAGTTCATGGCTGCTAAGAAGGTGACATCCCCCATCTCCCAAAACTCCACTCTCAGCTGGGCACTCCCAACTAGCCTGTGCTGATTTTGGCACTCACTGGGACATTTCCGTGAGCCGAATGAGCTCAGTAAAATGGCAGACAAGCAGGTCCAACAAGTAGCAGCATCAGCACAAGGAAAGGGACAGAACACGCAGCCACGAAGAATAAAGCCACCTTTCAGTGGCCACAAGTCATTAGATTGGCTCAGCTGCATGTTAAAGTGACATCTTTAGCTGAACAGCCCCAAGGGGAGACATTTGAGAGAACAATGCTTGTTCTTCCCACCTTTCTGGTCCGTGAAATTAGTAAGCAAAAGGAGAAAAGCCCAGAAGCCATCTAATTTCCACTAGAGGGAATAAATTTGACAAGCAAAATTATTTTTAAAAAGTGATATGGCTAAAGTATGACATAGGCTCCTTGGTTTACCCTATGTTTACCCTTTTTGTTTCTATTTCCCCTCAAAAATAAAAAGATGGTATAAATAAACAAATTAATAAAAGGCTTGACTCAGCCCCACTTTCCTCTCTAATAACTGCTTTCTCTCTTTTTGACTTCTAGACTCACTCCATAGACATCTAACTATCAGTGTCCAGACTTCTCTGTTTCCACTCTGGATTAACCACAGCCATTCAAAGGTTCAACAGAGCTCAAAAAAATGTATTTAAACTTC